AACAAAATTAATATACCCTTGTGCACAAGTGCGCTCGGGTATAAAAAAATGCTTAATAATAATTAGATTTTATTTGAGTAATAACAGTTTTTGCTCGTTTTTGCTCCCTTTTCCAAAATTTAACATTTTAAGCGAAGTACGCTTAGAAATCTATCGTCCTTACATAGAATAAAGCAAATCCGGGATTTTTCACCACGTTAATCTTAAAAACTACTGAACGGATTTGTGAAAATTTTTTAAAAGGGGTATGTATTATCTTTAGGCCTGAGAATTTCTATGGGGTCACCATATGTCCAAAAAATTAAAAAATCCGCACCGTTCGTTGGATTACAGAAAATGAGGTGTCAAATGAAGGTGCTTGGCTAGATGTCCAATAATGTATTATCTTTTTAGTAGGGCTGCCACCATTTTAAAAATTATAATATCTTCACAGTTAGTTGGACTAAAAATGAGGTGCAAAGAGAAAGGATATGGTCCCCGGGGTTACTGCCTTTTTAAAAATTACTACCTTATATATACATATGAATTTTTTGTTAATGACATCAGATTTCTACAGTTGAATTTGCAAACAAGTAATTTTTAAGCAAAAAACAAAACCTACTTCAAATCTCATATAATCCAATGATCGGATCTAAATCAGATTAGTATGGGACCACCTCTGAGACACTACCTTTCCGATGCAAAAAGAATTTTCGAAATCGGTTGGAAAAAAATATTCCGACGAATTGATAACCTCCTCCTTTTTTGAAGTCGGTTAAAAATAAGGCGTCAAGAGCTTGGCCTATAGATGTACAAAACATTTTTATTTTTTCATAAGGGTTGCTTGAAAAGTCGAAACGAAAGAGTGCTAAGAAATCTTTAGTTTGAATATTTAAGATTGGTATCAATCGAAATATGTTTGAAAGGCTTTGTTCAGAACTATATTTAGAAGGGTCGCCACATGTTTAAACAAGCGAATTCAACTTGAATTGTGGCGATTAGGTAATTTAAATATGTATCACAATTACGGTGTCACACTAAAGGGGTTTAAGTAATTTTTAACAAAGTTTTGAATAAGGTTATCGTTCAAAAGCAACGTTATATATGGGTTATCTGATCGGCCCAAAAATTTTAACATAACTTGCTAATAACATGCAGAACATATGTACCAAGTTTGAAAATGATAACTTCCTTTTTAGAATTTATGCCAAAAAAATTTAATTCCGACCAGTCTGTAATGTAAAGAACACAAACAATTTGCATACTTTAGCTTGAATTTTATACATGTAGATGAATATATTTCAGTACATACATACTAGGAGAGCCAGTTACTGTCGAAATTCGACTGTTTTTCTAGTTTTTAAGATCCTTGGAGAGGTTTCATAACTTAGCACGTCGTTTAACTTATAATGTAATTTTTCAATTTTTTATATCTTTGAAGGTCTTTGGCAAGACTTGGAACATACCCGGTACATTACAGTCTGTCGACAATTTGATACATATCGATAATTCAATGAAGTTCAAAAACACTAAAATCCCTTAACCCAACAAAATTCGACATCTTGACTAATTTCGATAAATTTCGATGACTTTGGGTTTCCAGGGCCCCTATTGCGAGTGTCGACTGGCAGTAGAATAGAAATTTGTCGATCGAGTCGATCGTCTTTTATTATGCTCTTGCGTAACTTGATCGATAAAAATTTATACTATTGTGAATGGTTGACTGAATTGTATACAGCTGTTTGTTTGTTTACATTTGTTTCTTTAGTTTTTCATTTACATCATTTTTAAAATAATTGCTTTTATTATAAAATTTAAAAAATTGATACGGTTGAAATATGGTTTAGTGATGAGGAAGACGATATGGAAGATTAGTAGAGTTGGCTAAAGCAAGGAGGGCATTGCGAGATTCGTCGGATCCCTTGGAGTTGGAAGATGAAGTGTATGTATATCCCTAGAACACACACCCAGAAAATACCACGTAAACACACACCCGGGATACGTTTGTACCCGGGACCTTATTTTGCGGTTTTTTAATGCTTATTCAACCGATTTCTA